CACTGTTTTGGAGACATTTAAAACATTGTTTTAGGGTTGTTTTTTGAGACACTAAAAGTATAAATTTTTGGGATGTTTTGTGCATTGTTTTACAGATTAAAAACATCACTTTAGGGCTGTTTTGAGCACTGTTTTGGAGACATTTAAAACAGTGTTTTAGGGCTATTTTTGCGTGACCCTGAAAGCATCATTTTATGGCTGTTTTGGAGACATTGTTTTGCAAATTAAAAACATCACTTTATGTATGTTTTCAGCATTGTTTTGCAGACATTTAAAACAGTGTTTTAGGGCTGTTTTTGAGCACTCCTTTAAAGTGTTGTTTTCAAGACATTAAATATTCAATGCTTTTTTTCACCATTCATTTTTCTGTAGATATTTATAATGTCAAATGTTGAACATTCTAAATCTGTCTCAAATGATGAACAATTGTCACTTGCAACACAAGAAGGAATCGGTAGTTCTCAACCTATTGAATAGACTGTTGGAAGCATGCATTGTTTTACAGATTAAAACATCACTTTAGGGCTATTTTGAGCACTGTTTTGGAGACATTTAAAACAGTGTTTTAGGGCTGTTTTTGAGACTCTAAAAGCATCATTTTAGGGTTGTTTTGTGCATTGTTTTGCAAATTAAAAACATCACTTTATGGCTGTTTTGAGCACTGTTTTGGAGACATTTAAAACAGTGTTTTAGGGCTGTTTTTGAGACTCTAAAAGCATCATTTTAGGGTTGTTTTGTGCATTGTTTTGCAAATTAAAAACATCACTTTATGGCTGTTTTGAGCACTGTTTTGGAGACATTTAAAACAGTGTTTTAGGGCTGTTTTTGAGACTCTAAAAGCATCATTTTAGGGTTGTTTTGTGCATTGTTTTGCAAATTAAAAACATCACTTTATGGCTGTTTTGAGCACTGTTTTGGAGACATTTAAAACAGTGTTTTAGGGCTGTTTTTGAGACTCTAAAAGCATCATTTTAGGGTTGTTTTGTGCATTGTTTTGCAAATTAAAAACATCACTTTATGGCTGTTTTGAGCACTGTTTTGGAGACATTTAAAACAGTGTTTTAGGGCTGTTTTTGAGACCCTAAAAGCATCATTTTAGGGATGTTTTGTGCGATGTTTTACAGAAATTAAAAATATCTTTTTAGGGGCTGTTTTGCACACTGTTTTGGAGACATTTAAAATATTATTTTATGGTTGTTTTTTGAGACACTAAAAGTATCATTTTAGGGTTGTTTTGTGCATT